ATAAACTTTAAGGAGGCTTCTCATCAGTAGCCGCACCTCCTTACTCGGTTTCTGAACTGGAATTCTATGGGCTTCCAGACGGCCAGACCGAGTATTACCATCCCATCCTTCTAGAGTTCATCACAAGTAGCACCCACCTTGAAGATCTTTGACACCCAGACACACCCCATTGGCGAACAAACTTTGGATATAATCTTACATGCTCCCGAAGGAATCCCTGGTTTATGGTCTTTCTCATCGTCACCAGCACTTTCACTAGGTCACGAGCTCTTTCACTGAAGTCATCAGCCCTTTCACTGAAGTCATCAGATGTGACTCTGATCAACGGTATAGTTGTGGACACAACAAGAAAATTGAGAATAATCTTGTGCGAGGGTAGGGACCCAGATGTCGTTTCTAACCCAAATAAACTTTAAGGAGGCTTCTCATCAGTAGCCGCACCTCCTTACTCGGTTTCTGAACTGGAATTCTATGGGCTTCCAGACGGCCAGACCGAGTATTACCATCCCATCCTTCTAGAGTTCATCACAAGTAGCACCCACCTTGAAGATCTTTGACACCCAGACACACCCCATTGGCGAACAAACTTTGGATATAATCTTACATGCTCCCGAAGGAATCCCTGGTTTATGGTCTTTCTCATCGTCACCAGCACTTTCACTAGGTCACCAGCTCTTTCACTGAAGTCATCAGCCCTTTCACTGAAGTCATCAGATGTGACTCTGATCAACGGTATAGTTGTGGACACAACAAGAAAATTGAGAATAATCTTGTGCGAGGGTAGGGACCCAGATGTCGTTTCTAACCCAAATAAACTTTAAGGAGGCTTCTCATCAGTAGCCGCACCTCCTTACTCGGTTTCTGAACTGGAATTCTATGGGCTTCCAGACGGCCAGACCGAGTATTACCATCCCATCCTTCTAGAGTTCATCACAAGTAGCACCCACCTTGAAGATCTTTGACACCCAGACACACCCCATTGGCGAACAAACTTTGGATATAATCTTACATGCTCCCGAAGGAATCCCTGGTTTATGGTCTTTCTCATCGTCACCAGCACTTTCACTAGGTCACCAGCTCTTTCACTGAAGTCATCAGCCCTTTCACTGAAGTCATCAGATGTGACTCTGATCAACGGTATAGTTGTGGACACAACAAGAAAATTGAGAATAATCTTGTGCGAGGGTAGGGACCCAGATGTCGTTTCTAACCCAAATAAACTTTAAGGAGGCTTCTCATCAGTAGCCGCACCTCCTTACTCGGTTTCTGAACTGGAATTCTATGGGCTTCCAGACGGCCAGACCGAGTATTACCATCCCATCCTTCTAGAGTTCATCACAAGTAGCACCCACCTTGAAGATCTTTGACACCCAGACACACCCCATTGGCGAACAAACTTTGGATATAATCTTACATGCTCCCGAAGGAATCCCTGGTTTATGGTCTTTCTCATCGTCACCAGCACTTTCACTAGGTCACCAGCTCTTTCACTGAAGTCATCAGCCCTTTCACTGAAGTCATCAGATGTGACTCTGATCAACGGTATAGTTGTGGACACAACAAGAAAATTGAGAATAATCTTGTGCGAGGGTAGGGACCCAGATGTCGTTTCTAACCCAAATAAACTTTAAGGAGGCTTCTCATCAGTAGCCGCACCTCCTTACTCGGTTTCTGAACTGGAATTCTATGGGCTTCCAGACGGCCAGACCGAGTATTACCATCCCATCCTTCTAGAGTTCATCACAAGTAGCACCCACCTTGAAGATCTTTGACACCCAGACACACCCCATTGGCGAACAAACTTTGGATATAATCTTACATGCTCCCGAAGGAATCCCTGGTTTATGGTCTTTCTCATCGTCACCAGCACTTTCACTAGGTCACCAGCTCTTTCACTGAAGTCATCAGCCCTTTCACTGAAGTCATCAGATGTGACTCTGATCAACGGTATAGTTGTGGACACAACAAGAAAATTGAGAATAATCTTGTGCGAGGGTAGGGACCCAGATGTCGTTTCTAACCCAAATAAACTTTAAGGAGGCTTCTCATCAGTAGCCGCACCTCCTTACTCGGTTTCTGAACTGGAATTCTATGGGCTTCCAGACGGCCAGACCGAGTATTACCATCCCATCCTTCTAGAGTTCATCACAAGTAGCACCCACCTTGAAGATCTTTGACACCCAGACACACCCCATTGGCGAACAAACTTTGGATATAATCTTACATGCTCCCGAAGGAATCCCTGGTTTATGGTCTTTCTCATCGTCACCAGCACTTTCACTAGGTCACCAGCTCTTTCACTGAAGTCATCAGCCCTTTCACTGAAGTCATCAGATGTGACTCTGATCAACGGTATAGTTGTGGACACAACAAGAAAATTGAGAATAATCTTGTGCGAGGGTAGGGACCCAGATGTCGTTTCTAACCCAAATAAACTTTAAGGAGGCTTCTCATCAGTAGCCGCACCTCCTTACTCGGTTTCTGAACTGGAATTCTATGGGCTTCCAGACGGCCAGACCGAGTATTACCATCCCATCCTTCTAGAGTTCATCACAAGTAGCACCCACCTTGAAGATCTTTGACACCCAGACACACCCCATTGGCGAACAAACTTTGGATATAATCTTACATGCTCCCGAAGGAATCCCTGGTTTATGGTCTTTCTCATCGTCACCAGCACTTTCACTAGGTCACCAGCTCTTTCACTGAAGTCATCAGCCCTTTCACTGAAGTCATCAGATGTGACTCTGATCAACGGTATAGTTGTGGACACAACAAGAAAATTGAGAATAATCTTTTTAATCACAGCAGATTTGTTGACATTTTGGGTAATTTAATAGACTTCTTTTAACATAACTTAAACTTAACTTTATCAGTCAGCTCAACTTCATGGCTTAAACACAAAACTAGTTCACCTATAAGTGGACCGAGAAAATCGTTCTACTATGTTAGCATAAAGGACGCGTAAGGGTAGCGGCCCTTTACGCAGCCCCAGAGTCAAGAGGATACAGTGAACCCAGCATCTGGTGAGCACTGATTTACCTAGCTTGTTGAAGTGAATGCCGTCGCGTGCTAAGTGCGGTAGGCCGAATAGAACATTATCAAAGAGTTTGAAATTTCTACTGCGTAAGGAGAGTTGGAGCATCAGTTCGTTCGTCAGATCTATTGTCCGGTTCATTTTGTTGAAACGATCTGCATTTATGGACAATGGGCTGATGGAGTCAAATAAAAACTGGACGTTCAAGTGTCTGTACTTGTCAATGAAAAGTTTAACGTGGTTGTGGAGAGTCTGGGGATCTGCACCGTTTTTCCTCAGGTCGTTTATCCCTGCTGAGATTAGGACTACGTCAGCCTGCCGAATGGACTCATCGTGTTGGTCGAGATCGCGCAGCAGAAAGAGATCATTTCTGAAAGCTACGGCAGGCTCTTGCAGTTCACTGCAATCAAAAGAAGCGTTTTTGGAATCAGAGAGGATCAGTACGCGTTTAGGCCCTGGCTGGCTGGTGGTGGAGGGATGAGAGACAGGGCTCTGCTTAGGACGGGATGATGGACTGATCAAAGTTCTGCAAGTAATGCTGATCCGGGTGCCTGTGCACTGCTCTTGATGGACCCGCGGTACACTGTGATCGAAGAGGTTCTGGCTAGACCGAGTCATGGAGTACAAAGACCCGTGCTCGGGGGTAATGGAAAATCGCTCGTACTTTCCTGGCAGCTTCCTCCTGAAAACAACTGGGCGTGCAGCTCCGAGAGTGATGGTCAGGATGGAACTATCGGGGTCAAGCGACGGCTCGTTGTCGCTGTGGGGAGGAATGTGAGCTGTGTGTGAGTCGTATTTAGTCACCAAGAAACTATTTGAGGATTCATGGACATCGGGGGACAAAGATACGAGTTTATCAATAATAAGTTTCAGATATGGGTTTGAGTCAAAGTCCCTAGCCTTGTGGTGGCTCCCCCCGTACTTATAAGGCAATGATCCGTAATAAGCCGTTTTCCTGCTCCCAAAATCACGGTCATATTCTGTCCCTGAGTCCAAGACTCCTGCATCAAAATCTGCGAACGGATTACCTTCGTAAAGTTCGTAAGGTTCCAGATTACCTGGTGAGTGCTGACTAACTGGAGCATCTGACGGTGCTGGAGCTGGAGGTGGAGAGAAGCAGATGTCAGCGTTCTCTGGAACTGCAGGCGGAGCACACGTAGCTGGTGTTTGGAGGTCTGCTACCAGTGTCTGGGCGGAGTCGATGTTCTTCTTCAGCTCCTCCAACTGGGAGTTCGCTTCACAGACGTGCCTCGAAAAATGGGAGGTTAGATCGTTCAGTCTGTGTGTCAGTGCGTCGCCGTCAGTCATTAGAACACGAGTAAAGTGTTGTTTGAGGGAGAACTCCTTTTTCCTAGGAGTGTCACGTAATTCGACGTAGCTCTTGTCGTCGTAAATTCTCGTGAGCTCATCAAAAATTTGTTGGTCCGACAATTTGTCGACTAAATCAATGCAGAGTTGTGGGCTATAGCATCTGATGTTTGTCTGTGTCGAACAATCAATTTTCAAGACTGTACCTGCACTTTGTAGATTTGCCAGGTAGCCCTCTTTAAGACTGTAGGTAGCGGTGGGCGTGCCGCTACCTGGCGGCCCGGTGGAGTGTTGAGAAGACGCTGGACTGGTCATGTCTGTCAGGTGATGGTGGTGGTCCGGTCTGTTGAGTCGGTACAAGAATGACGTCAACACAGTACAACACGTACTATCTTATCAGCAATCCATTAGCGAGTGAAATTGCTAACGAATTGAAAAGTAAATGTGATCGAATGAAGTGAAAAGTAAATGTGATCGAATGATTTGAAAAGTAAATGTGATCGAAACAGTGCTAATATTCCACTGTTTAGCCGTTGTAGTTTATACCTGAATTTTATCTTGCACGTGTTATGACGTCACGTGTTATAACTCTACGTGTCATGAAGTCACGTATTAACTGTTATGACGTCATATTTCATAACGTCACGTTTCCCAGGACCCCCAAGTTACACTGGAGGAAGTGTTATAACGCGTTACACCCTAGAGATTTTCAGAGATGACTGGTTACAACTCTACACTGGAACTGAGACTTCTTTCCTCGTTACAGAACTGACACCTGGTTTGTAACTATTACTTGCGATATGATATCGTATTTAATAATGAAGCTTGACTTAGTCAACCTTTTAGTGCAACCTTTTAGACAGCGCATGCTACATGCGTGGACATGTATATTAATGTCCACGTTGTATATCCTTGTAGCTAGTGGAAACATTAACTGCCTAAAGACCGTAAGTCGTAACCATCAAATTATTTAATCATTTTAACAAACGCTTACCAAGACGAACCCTAGGAAAGAGTTACAGATTCAGACTAAGATGTCACAACTGTGCTGGAGCCAGTCTCTACTCTAACACCGTTAACTTTGTGACAGCCCCCGCTCCACCTCTAGCTCCACAACCTCCTGTTATCACTAGCAAGGGGCCTTATGCTGCAATTATAGCTTGGCCGGTTCGTTTCACCTTTAACTTTTATTTCCTTCTACAATCTACTGTTTAGTATCGGTTTTGAACATATTAAAAGGGTCTACTTGATTCAGAAATGGACGGCGCGGTGGATATTTTAAGCCATTATGTTGACGAAATTGCTGCGCGCATAGGTGCGTTTACGTACTCATTTCCCAATAAACGTGTCGTTAAATTTAGTAGCTCAAAAGTAGATATTATGAGACAAAACTAATTAAATATACAGTAAGCTGTTCTCTAGCTGTTATCCAGCTGCATTGCAGTCGTTTTCAACATTAAGGGCTTTATTCAGTTCTAAACAACACTTTTGGACCGCGCGCTGATCAGTAAATTTTACTTTTGGCTATAAATAGTCTACTGTTAGGTGTTCGATAAAATAAGGTTCGAGGTTTAGGATTTTTGACTCGTAGACAGTGCAAATTAACTTAGGCCTTTAACTGATAGTTGTGACCTTCAGGAGACGTCTACAAATGGAGCACCAATAACTTCATACTCAGTCGATATGTGTCTTCTCGGTGACACCTTTGCTGAGGTAATTTCTTTTTTTAATACATATATAAGGTCTTTGTGTAATGCTGTTAACAAATAAACTGTGGTCTTACAGGAAATGTGAAAAATTTCTAACATAAACCGACCTATCAGATGTATATTTACACTCTAAAGTAAACAACAACTACTACCAGTAAGTAAACAAATGCTCACTGTTTAGTTATTAAAACACTAAAGTAAACAACTGCTCAGGTGTACAATGATAAAGAAACGGAATGTGTAGTCAGGAACCTGAACCCAGGTTCTACATACTACTGTATAGTTAAAGCAAATAGTGTAGTAGGACAGAGTGTTCCTAGCGAGGTTGCTGTTTATCACTCTCCGCCTGCCCCTCCTGAGCCTCCTACTAAAATACACCTGGTTAGTAACCACTTAGTAACCATTTAGTTATAACTTAGTAACCACTGCACTGAGTAACCACTTAGTAACCATTTAGTTATCACTTAGTAACCACTTATCAACACAGGATTATTATAAAGGAGTACTTAGTGTTACCATACCAAAACAAATAATTTAAAAAAGGATTTTCTAGTACATATTCTGATGTCAGGTGACAACTCCACTTGACCTCATCGTAACTCCACCTTGTCCAGGTTGAGAGCAGTGACAGTTCACTGAAGATAAGCTGGGATCCTCCATCCAGTCCTGGTGCTGATATTCTCCACTACAACGTGTGTTTTAACAACGGACCAGCTAGTAAATGTGTGGAAAATGAGTTTTATGTAAGTTCAGTTTTCTGTTATACGAGTTAATTTCAACAAGTTAAGATATGATTACGTTAACTGAATCTTATTTATTGAGATTGAAAACAACGTATTAATATTATTGAGGTGACTAACAAAAGACTCCAATATTCAGATAGAAAGTTTGAACAGTGAGACTCAGTATAAAGTAAGAGTTCAGGCTGTTAACTCAGTGGGATCCGGCCAATTCAGGTAACTTGCCAACCAACATTTGATATGTTTTCTTAACTTTAAGTAAATAAAGGCTGAGTGAAGTTTATTGTATACTGTAATATAGCAGAATTAGATAAAGGTTGAATCACATGGTCAGGTTTAACTTCTCCCCTCCCCACAGCTCTGCTAAAGTAGTGGTCACAGGAACTCCTCTTCCCCCAGCCCTGACCGGTCCAATACTTCTCTCATCACGTGGTCACAACTTCCTGAAAGTCGGCTGGACTAGTGTGCGCTCTGTCAAGTCTTATCTACTGGAACGAGCAAGTGCTGAGTCGTGAGTAGTTTTGGATCACACAGTTTCGTTTTGTTTAAATTCGGGCAGTTTCCGTTTCAGACTTCAGTTTTATGATCTATCCGCATGTCATTCATTTAAAAAAAGTTTTCAGTATCTTCGCTAGAAATAACGCTAAAATGTCGAAATTCCACGACACTAACTCCAGTCAAACTTCAGTGATGACTTTATATCGGTATACGAAGGGAACAAGCCCCAAGTAAAGATAAGCAAACTATCTGCCAACACAGACTACAAAATACGTGTATGTGGGGTGAACAATGCTGGTACTGGACCCTGGTTACTGGCTACCTTCTCTACTGACTCCATCCCTCCTCCTCCTATTACTAGTTAGTCAAACACAAGGATATATTTTATCACTAGTTAGTCGAAAACGCAAGGACATTTTTTCTATATGTATTCGTGAAGTTAACGAGGTCTGATCGTCATCTTCTTACAGCGTTCGATGTCTGTGTGCAGTAGTCCCATTGCCTTAGTATTGCTGTACAACTACTGCAGTATTCGTGAAGTAGTTATGATCATTTTAAATGAATGGTACTCCTGATAACACAGCATATAACACTCTTTTACCCTCTTTTCAGAGGTGTACAAGTCGATAAAAGAGAACCAACTGACCATTTCCTGGCAAGTGAAGGATAAACTACAAGAAGAGGAGCTGTTCCAAATCTTACACTCCACTGATGGTGATATTTTCACTCCGGTAAGTTTCTCGGCCAATCAGAAAGCATTTTTATGTCACGTGACTACCATCTTCCTGATGAAAGTTGATAAGAGTTTCATCCAAAAAATTGTTGTTTATAAAACTAAAATTTTTCAAATTTAACCGTGTATATTTGCAGATATACGAAGGACTAGATCGTAATTTCACGACCTCGATTCTCCCCGAAACTACCTACTCTTTTAAAGTGAGAGTAAAACGAGACTCCACCGGTCCACCAGAGTACGGACCCTTCTCCCAGACTCTCCTCGTCAAACTGAAACCACCTCCTCTAGAGAGGAAAGAAAGTGAAAGAGAAACCAAATTAGTTGAAAAAGAAATTGAAAGTGGTGGCACGTTTGAGGACTCGCACGTGGTGGTCTTCATTTTGCTGGCCATGTGTCTGCCAGCTGTGCTGACGGTGGTTTACTTTATTTATTTTTAGTAACACTGTCACGTGATAGGTTTATTGTTAATTATTCATGTTATTCATTTAGATTGTGTTTTGTGAACATTATGTACGGGAAATAGACACGTGATATGACGTCACACCACGTGTCATGACGTCATTTGTTATTTATTTAGGTTTAAATATTGTTATTTCATTATCTTTGATCTGTGATTATATGGTTGAGGTTTCTTTAATTTCAGTTAAATTATGTAAACAATTTGCAGTGAGATCAATTATTTGATAAGGGGTTCTTTATCATTCTCAGTGTCAATTGATAACGTGAAGATTAGGACAATATTTTGACTTGCTGATTAATAAGCCGAATTTAAGTAAAGTGTTTTAATGTTTTGAATTAGTAATAGGAACCATATATTAAAACTTCAAATTAATGTAGATAAACAGATAATATTCCTTGCAAAAATTCGAAGCAAAATTATTGGGTTTTATTTTGCAGTCAGTTTTAAAAGTATAGACATTAGAAGTGGCCCAGAGCAGGTGAAGACGATTACATCTACGGCTCGGTAGTCCAGATTCTTGTTGGCACCTCTTCAACTTTAATTGTATGGAGCATGTAATCGAGCTAACTCAAGATAATTAGCTTAATTAAAAAATAGCGACTGCCATATTACTTTTTTTTTGTGCTCTGGTGCCTGAATATGCTAATATGTAAACAATTATGTACCCTGCCGTGTAATACAGTTTATAGGACATTTCAGAATGTCCTATATAAACGGACTCAGAAAATTAGATTAAAAAGGTCTTCGCATAAATCTAACTTAATTAACATAAAACTCACGTGCACGTGTACTTGACAGATTTAAGTGGCCAGAAAAGTCAACATTTTTAGACTTTAGTGTTTGCTCAAATTTGTTTGCTACACGTGTATATTAACCAATATATTGTGTAACCATGGTAACCAAGTGTAGTCCTAGTAACGGAAATTTGTTTATCCTTCTTCTTTGTTTCTGGAGACAAGTCAACTGTAAAGGGGGATCTGCAGGAGGAGGGGGAGTTAAGGGTGGTTCATGTAAGTTCAATTATTAACATGTAATAGGGAGATCAATATCCTTAACCTATATTTATCATAGATCTATCTACCGGTGGCATCACACGAGACAAGATTGTCAGACATATACAGGGTGTACCGCATAAAGTGTGACTTTTTATAGACGGAGACTAACTAAAAATGAATCGAAATATGATTTTTTTTTCCTTGTTGATTAGGTCCGATCACCATGTCATAATTCTGCCCTACTGGCAACTTGTCAATTAATAATCTGAACATTCCCAGACGAAGGCCATTTTCCAGTGTTCAGGGATAATAGTTGGAAAATATACGCTCCCGTTCTTATCTGTATCACCCTTATCTTGTGCTGTCTTTTCTACGATAAGGTTTATCAACTATTTCTGAGGATACGCTTTGAGAGGGTAGGTTCCACTCCACTCCACTCCACTCAACTCCACTCCACTCCACTCCACTCCATTCCACTCCACTCCACTCCACTCCACTCCACTCCACTCCACTCCACTCCACTCCACTCCACTCCACTCAAGTCCACTCCACTCAACTCCACTCCACTCCACTCCACTCCACTCCACTCCACTCCACTCCACTCCACTCCACTCCACTCCACTCCACTCCACTCCACTCCACTCCACTCCACTCCACTCCACTCCACTCAACTCCACTCCACTCCACTCCACTCCACTCCACTCCACTCCACTCCACTCCACTCCACTCCACTCCACTCCACTCCACTCCACTCCACTCAACTCCACTCCACTCCACTCCACTCCACTCCACTCCACTCCACTCCACTCCACTCCACTCCACTCCACTCCACTCAACTCCACTCCACTCCACTCCACTCCACAGTCCACTCCACTCCACAGTCCACTCCACTCCACTCCACTCCACTCCACTCCACTCCACTCCACTCCACTCCACTCCACTCCACTCCACTCCACTCCACTCCACTCCACTCCACTCCACTCCACTCCACTCCACTCCACTCCTACACTTTGGTTTCTGTCTCATTTTCATTTTCAACAAAATAATGATATTAGTATCTTATAGTATTAGAATTTGTAATTATCACTAATACTTACCAATTTTCAATATCTATGGACTATGCGATATATATATCTTTTGTTATATCTTTTTTATATTTGCGTTATTTTATCCGCAGTGCTTATGAAAATCACTTTGACTATCAACGTTTAGTATTTTTATACAATCCGTACATGTGATCAACAACAAGTTAAAATATGTAAAGGTTTAACTTACATACTTTTAGGCATTTAAATATTTTGTATTAAATAGCTTGAATTTTGACGATTATAAATCAATTCAGACACTAGAAGAAGCTGCAAATTCGACTCAAGAAGAAAGAATAAACTCGGTAAATCTCCGGCCGCCAAGCAGCAGAAACCGTGTGGTTGTTCGTTATGCGGCAAGTTACCATGGAAACACGTCCACTTGTCTATGCGACGGACAAATGATTCGCGGCTACCACAGTGTGCCCAGGATTTCAAACATAGATGCTTACTATTGCAACCAGTGCAAGAATTACCGTCAGTTTGGAGCACCATATTATTGGAATGTGGAGAGAGATGATAATACCTTATATGGACATAACGTTCAATGTGGAAAGTGTGGGGCCAGGGGGGACTCGGTATTAAGTCAGGAAACAGTCACTCATAACAGCGTTAATAACTTTAGCAACAACCCGTCTCTACTCATGGAGACAAAAGAGTTATGACGGAGATAAAAGTGAAAGTGAAAGTGAATGTTTCAGCACAAGCTAAACTTATTCAGATTCTTCGTAAGCCTATCGCAACCAATTTTGAGTCTACAAAAGTTGAGTAATGAGTATCATTATTTCAACGATGTTTCAACAGCTTCAAACACAGTAAAACTAAAATCAAACTGAAATATTCAATTTATCCTAACAATGTAGAACGTGAGGTCGATGCCGAAAGAACATTAAGAAACTAACTAAACAATAAACAAATTGTCTTTTCTCAAGTATTTTATCAATATAAAGGAAGCTGTTCATTGTTTCAAACGAATGTTTGAGATGCTCGAGGAGCTTAAAATGAATATTCAAGCCATTTCACATAAATCATTATTAAAATAGATAATAATTTCCCACTTGTAGATTTTTATACTGAGCTTTAAATAACTATTATTTAAATAACTA